GCTGCGAGGCAACAGTGCTACCAACTGCGCCACCCTGCAGCCCTAAGTCTGTTTATGATCCATTAATTGATTAATGAATCAGTTGTGTTGCAGTACGGAAACATCTAAAACCTAGGGGACAGTAGCTCACGAGGAGATCCCTGCTATAGAGGAATGAAGCTTCCACAAATTCTGCGAAAGTCATCGAGGGAACCCAGACAGATTGGGGAAAACCGTTCCTATCCGAAAACTCTGAGAAAACACTGTTTTTACTAGAAACCCTCTCATCAATATGTCTGCGTGCTGCCTGCTCCTGACCTGGAGTGACACCAGTGTATTGTGCAGATGGTCCAATACAGAGCAAATACCCCCCCTCACCCCTCGTTATCAGCATACATCCTCTTTTCTAAAGTGTCATTGAGCAAGTCCCCGAATCCCCGCTGGCAGTGGGGCCCAGCTCTGTGGACGTATACAGCTGGTTTTACAAAGCAAGGGTCTGAACATGATGTTTAAGTCCGGAAACATTCACACCTTGTCCGGGGACAGCTACTACACTGAAAGCGCAGATACAAGTTGTAAACATCACACATTAAAAACTGATTCGAACTGGTGTCTGCTCATCCCACGCCAGACTTTGTCAGGCTCCATTTGTTTTGGCAGTCATCCTAAAGCAGACACATGTGACGCAGGAGTCAGGAGGGGTGATGGTGGTGTTTGACTTGGCTCTGTTTTCACGTTTAAAGTACAGGATATATACACCCCAGGCTGCGCGAGTGCTACTTCTCCCTCCTTACCGTTGTCTGCTCTCCTACCGTTTGCATCTCAAGCAGACATGAATCTCTTGGGCTTTACCGCCGTGCTGGGACTACTCGTGGGGGTTTGGGCTCAGATCGACGTGCTGAAGCCGCCGTGCGACTCCCTTGTTGCGGAGGAGGTTGGTGAGGTGGCTCAGGATTACCTCAATGCCCACCACAAAAGTGGCTTCAAGCATAGGCTGAACAGGATCGAAGACATCAAGGTCTTCACCAAGGTAAGATGCAGCTTAGGTGCAGGTAAAAACATGCAGATAGGATCATAGACTTTTACTTGAACTGTGTTGTAAAAGTCTGACAGTGCGTTAAAGTGCTTAATAAGCTTAAGATTGTCACACGGTTCCAATGGAAACTATAATTTAAGCACATTTTGTTAAAGCTATTTCCTTTATTCAGTAATTGCTCATCTTAAATAGCACATCTCCTTTTCTTTCTTGCCTCATTATTATATTTTAACATTCTTTTATACCATCAGCACTCCAGATAAGACATAATCCATCGAAGCATATTTCTAATTCTATTTTTTTTTGTCATTAGAAGCTACGTGTGTGTTCATTTGGGCAATACATCATTTGAATGACATCTGTACCTGTTTTTGGAAATACCATAAACGGCAGTATTTGGTCACTGATGCAGAAGATGTGTACTTCTGGGTTGTTTTTTTTGTTGGTTTTTTAGCCTGATGGAGACAACACGTACAAAATTGAAATTGACCTGCTGGAGACAGACTGCCATGTGCTGGACCCCACACCTGTTGCTAACTGCACAGTCAGGCCCAAAGCACTGACGGTGAGACTGCATGTCAACACACTGCTGATCAGACAAAAATAAGATTTAAAAGTCCTACGCAACTCGGTCTTACTCTTTGTCCTCATTCAGGCGATAGAAGGAGACTGCGACGTGGTGCTGCAGAAGGTCGGTGGAGCTCTGACTGTCACGGCCTTCAAGTGTAAAACAGAAGGTAGACTTTCAGCCACACAGTTACAGAGACATGTCTACATACTGCACACCGTCCACACAAAAACCTGCATCTCTTCTCGGGTGTCACGCAGAATCAACGGAGGACATGTGCCTGGGCTGTCCGACCCTCCTTCCTCTAAATCACACTGTGGCGCTGGACTTTGTCAGCACCTCTCTGGGAACCTTTAACAACAGGACTGAGAACATATCGTACGTTGTTCAGGAGGTCGGACGGATGTCATCACAGGTGGGCCAAAGCTCAGCCAGTTAAGTTTCTACTAAATGTAATGCATCTGCACGTTTTAAATACTTGTCAATACCTTGTTTCAGATTGTGGCTGGTGGACCAATCTATTTAGCAGAATACGTTATAGTCGAGGCCAACTGCACTGATGATCCCTGCGTGCCCCTCAACGATGTCATGGCTGTGAGTACAACCAGCAAGAACAACAACTCTTTTCTCTCTTTTTTTTTGCAAAGAATGTAAAAAAAAAAAAAAAACCTCTAAAAAAAATCCTCTAAGTGATTGCTGGGGAAAAAAAAACATGATAATCTAAGAGGAAATTGTCAAAAACCAATGTTTCTCCCTACCAGAGTCGTGGTATTTGCACCGCCAAGGGCCTGAACAGCCTTCACACAGTGGACTGCAAGATGTTTCCCACTCTGGTAAAATTTAAGAAAAACAAACTCTATTTAACTAGTTTTTGATAGGCTAAAATAACTCGCCGTATTTAGAATTGTACATTTATGCAGAAAACATAATTTCTGTTGCTGATTCTTTTTAATTATCTTTTTTCAGATGCCCTTTGTAGATACCAATAGCACGTCAGCCGCAGACCCTGCCATCCCACCGGTGGTTCATGCAACGTACAAGCACGGCAGGAAACATCACTTACTGACCGCTTTCCATAACCCTCATCTGAGCGGCTATCTGTCTGCAGAATCAGCAGAGTCCGCTGAAGTTGTACCTGTAGTCCCTGTAGTGCTTGACATTGCTCCTGCTGCTGCTGATCCTGTACCGACTGCTGCCGATCCTGTACCTGCTGCTGCTGATCCTGTACCAGCTGCTGCTGATCCTGCTTCAGATGCTTCAGATGCTTCAGACGCTTCAGAAGAACCGAGCAGTAAGGATCTTGGTGGTCTTAAGTTTAAGAGAGAAGCCCCTGCTCAACTTGTGTCTGCTCCGGCTGATGCCCCTGCAGCTTCAGCAGGTCCCATCGCTGCTATGCCAGTCTGCCCGGGAAAAGTCAAATTCTTCTAAGTGTTCGGGTCCCACAGACTCTCTATGGTTGCTTCCTTTGACTACACTGGTACCAGAGTAACTTTAACGGATACACAAAGGTGTGCTGTGGTAGGCGAATGTAACACGAATACACTATCAAATGGGGAATAATAAATTGTTTGAAATTGTCAAATCACAGAAGAACAAAACAACTTCTGAAATTTCTTTTAAAAAATGGATTACATGCTGTTAAATAAATCTCTCCAGTCAAAACTTGTCTTCTGATCATTATGCCTCCTTTAAAATGTACATTTAACGGTAGCGGTCAGTGAAGGACAGGGAGATATCCAAGGCCTTTCACAGGTTTAATGAGGGCACACTGATAACCTGTATCGCCGTGTTCTCTCTCGAGACATTTGTACCATAATGCATTTAATCATTCATGCTACATCTGTAAGAGCGATTGCAAAAGTGCGTGGCGCTGTTTGCAGATTGTGTTGACTCATGCCAATGACACCAGCCTAAACCCAGTGACATTTCTGATGCAGCCATAGCAAATAAGTGTTACTCATGATTTGTCCTGTTTGGCTCCGTCTTTAGGACAGTTCAATACTTCAAACATGACTCAAATGTTCCTAGCGTGGGATTATTTTAATACCCCAAACTGACAATTAGTGACCGTTTACGTGTTTCAAAACTCCACATAATCTGGTAGCTAATCTAAGATTTCATTTGGCGTTCAAGATGACACAACCCATTCTACTCAACTGTAAAAGCACAAACTAGCAACAAAATGAATGTGGACAAAAGAGGAACTTTTTAGGGAAATCTGTAAAAAGGACTTTTTAGGTTGCACACACCAAGGACATAGTTGATGAATGGGCAAATTCTAGTAACTATTGACACGAATGGGTCAATGTTCAGGAAGCATCAGTTCATGGTGAGGCAAAATAAGGCAAAACAAATACATTCAACAAGCCAATGCACCCTTTGAGTCTAGGAAGCAGATACAATGCCAACAAATGCTTAATGCAAACAGACAGATTTAAAATTGTCAATGAAAAAAAAAAAAAGAAGTGAGTTGTCCTTGAATGCCACAACAGATGACTCTTTACCATCCTGCTCTTACACACACTTTCCAAATATTTCCCAACCCACACTTATGAGCTCTCAAATGATAATTTAGATTTAAACAAAATGTTTTAATTAAAAGCACATGTTTGGTTGATCTTTGTTAATTGTTTATTCAGATTGAAGTCAACTCATTTTTGCTTCTGATTTTCATGTTCTGTTGGGAGGGAATGCTTCACTCCTGCAAAAGACGCACATATTAGTACAAGAGATTGGGTTACGGAGTTTCTAAGCATTAACAACATACCATTTCTTTGGTGGTCAGCTGCAGAACTCGGGTGTTGAAAGGGATTTCCAAGAGCATCAGGTGGAAACCTTTGGATGGAGCCAAGAGGTGTCAACAGTTTCCAGGGATCTTCGAATGACTGAGGATATTTTGGGTTTAAATGTGCTGCGTTGACAGATGGTTCGTGGGGCATAAAGACAAATCGAAGGCCATCTGGAGCAGGAGGTAACGAGGGCCAATCCGATTCATGGCCAAACCTTTGCTCGTAGTCGATATGACCAAGCAAGGGATCGGGCATCCCTTCTTCCGGCCATTTGGGGTGTTGGGTGTTTTCCTGCGGGAGCTCGAAGCTCAGAGGATTCTGGGGTTTACTACTCTGTTCGCTTGCAGGTTCTTGTGCTATGGAGTATGCGCCATAAAGCAGGTCTCTGAAAGGCATTAGAGAATCGGTGAAACTGTTGAGGTCCTTGCCTGGTGGGCCATGCTGTAGCAGCACATAGCCCTTTTGTTCAGAATTAGGGTTCGGAGCCTGTTCTTGTTTAGTCGAGTTATTCGGGTCGCTCATTGCGGCGAACATCTGTGGTTGAGAGTTGTTTGGAAGCGCAGATCTGTTATAAGCAGGCGCTGAAGCATCTTGAAGCATAGAGTAAGGAACCCGAAAACGATCGCGGTGGATGTTAATGTGTGCTGAGCCTTTAGAGTCACTGAACTTTTTGTAATATGGCAGCCAGTCAGTGGCTTTAGGTTGATTATGCTGCTTTAATCTGTAGTACTGCTGGTATTTGCCGATATAAGGCCCTGTGTGTTTATTCACATTCCCAGCTGACATTAGTTGGCTGTTTTGCTTTGTTGGGGACTGAATATATGGCTCATACTCCACCACTGGATTTGCTGGTTCCTTACCTGAAGCTTTAGAGTTTTCATAGGAGGGAGGTGGGGGCTTGCCTTGTGGAAAACTTTGCAGCATCTCAATTTCTGGTGGATTTGGCTGATGGGGATACAGTGGATTAGGTGCAAAATAAGGATAAACCTGTAGGTTAGGATTTGCAACCATGCTGGGATTGCTTCCAGGTAGTGCAGCAGGGTTGCCATCTGGTGGCGGTGAATATGGTTGCTTTATGTTTTTGAGTGGGAGGGACTGAGGTGAACTCGGTGGGGAGGTAAAAGTCGCAGCTTGTGTTGCTGGTGCTTCAGTTGGCTTTTGAGGAGGAGGAGGAGCAGAACTCAAACCGTTGCCAAACTCCGGATATGCCGCTGAAGGAAGAAATGGCAGACCTTGATACCACCGAGGTGCTTCCTTACTGCCATGTCCAGTAGGAACAATATGGAGATGTTGATGAAAAACAATTTGAGGACAGCAATTAGACAAACCCAGTGGACAAAACTGGGAGCAGTACGGCTGCATGTACAGAGAGCCGAGCTGAGCCCCTTGTTGGACAATATCAAAATTACCAGTTTGTGGAATAGCAGATCCTGTGAATTTCTGATCACCGGCTAGAGTAGCAACCTGGTGCTGCATAGAGATGTAAGGGGGCAATAATACTGGCTGCTGTGGGTAGTAGAACAGGGTAAAAGGTTGATGCATTTGGCCCTGCTGAGGATCATTACTTTGAATTGGTTTTTCCACAGGAGCTTTGTCATTACTTGTTCCTGGAATCTGGGTTGCTGGATAAGGTTTCAGGCCTTGTCCTGTAGGAGTTTGAGTTGCTGGCTGTGGAGCCACAGTTGGATTCTTGACTGGCTGATATTCAGGCTTTGGTTGAGGATGGAAGTACGTTGGTTGGTCTACTTGACCTTGAGGGGCTTCAGCCTTTGGTGACTGTGAAGCAGCAGGGGTCTTCGAAGCTGGTGGATTTCCAGGCTTGGGTTGGGGGTAGTAGGGATAGTAGAAAAACGGTTGGTATACTGAGTCTTGTGAGGCTTCAGGATGCGGTGATTGAGAAGCAGTAGTGGGTTTTGAAGCTGGTGGATGTCCAGGCTTGGGTTGAGGGTAGTAGGGATAGTAGAAAAATGGTTGGTATACTGAGTCTTGTGGGGCTTCAGGATGCGGTGATTGAGGAGCAGCAGTGGGGTTTGAAGCCGGTTGTGACTGGGAATAGTAGGAGTAGTGGTAAAACGGCTGATACATTGGGCCCTGAGGAGCTTCAGGCTGCGGTGCCACCGTGTGTTCCTGAGGCTTCACAGGAACTGTGGGCTGTTGTAGCCCAGGTTTTTTTGATAATGTTTCAGAATACAGTGTATAAGAAGGTGTTTCTCCTCGGGGAGCTTCAGATGCTTGTGGCTGCGGTGGCTGAAGGTGAAAAATGAATGGGTAAAGGGGTCCTTGTTCTGGGCCCTTAGGCTGGCTTGCAGGTTGTCCCACGGGTTTCTGAGGCTGCATAGTTGGGATGTTGAATGGATTTTGAAAAAACTGGTCATCCAATTTACCTGGTGGTGGTTTAGCTACTGGTGGCTGTGTAGGGGTAGGTTGTGGTGTAGAGGGCTGAGGATAAAGTGGAACAAAGTAATGTGGTCTTTGGTCCTTGGTGGTTTGTTTTACTAGAGGTGATGTGGAAGGGTTTGGAGACTGTACCGTAGAAGTAATGTCTAGGCTTGGAGGATAATGGTAAAAGAAACTAGGGTACATAGGATAGTAAGGTAACGGAGGTTGATGGATATCCTTTGGTCCTGGATTTGGATTCTTTGGGTTCTGATTAAAGCTTGAAAACTGAGGCGCAGTGACCTTTGCAGGATTTGGGGTTTGAGTCGTTTGCTGTATTAGAACCGTTGCTGGGTTTTGAGGGGGTTCCGATTGAGTTACTAACAGTGACGGACAGGAAATTTGTGTTTCTCCAAGTCCAGACAGGCCCAGAGTGTAAAATCCATCCTGAACAGAAATATCAATGGATTACACAACAATCAAAAAATGTCTAAAAGTACAATCAGATTCTTACAGCATACCTTTTTCTCCAGACAGGGTGCATACTGAACAGAGATGACCACACCTTCAGGATGTACGACTATACCAAACCCACACCTTTGCGAGGCCTTCATCAGCAGCTCCCAGTCTCCATTCACTGATTCATTAAAATATGCATTACTGCTAAAGACACTTCATAAAAAGGGCAACTGACATCAAGTCATAAGTCAGAAATTCAGCTGCCTCCACTCCGAGTCATACTTCTTGCAATAAATCAGATGCCAGACTATGCAAGCATTTAAAAAAAATTAAACACAGATGTATTACTGAATAGTCTTCAAACTATGGCCCACAGCTTGCAGACATTCTGCCATGGAATAGCAAGACAGATATGTCACTTCACGGGAGTGAATAAATGGATTTGTTTCATATCTGATAACAGTCGAAAAGCAGTGCAGCTGAAATGTCAACCCTTTGGTGCTGATTATCTAAACCAGGCCGCGAAATGGCAAAAAAAAACAAAAAACAAAAAAAAACAACTTACAATTTACTTTCATTTTTGAGGCGGCGATGGTCCACTCGGTTTTCACGACCATGCCCTCGGTGTGGCAGGTGACCATTGGGGGGTTTGTCAAGGACTGTTTCATCAAAGGGCATGTCATCCTCACCGGTAACCCCCACCAACGCAAAGGCAGGACGTAGCTGCCCTCCTGACGCCAGAAAGTAAGAAACAAAACATTGCAATGTGCACATGGTGAACATACAAGAGCTTTCAGAACAAGGTGCCTCACCTCCACGGTGACAAAGCAACCGTCGTACGGCGCAACCAAGACCAGGTCTCTTCGTGTCGACCTGATGGTGTAACCACAGCTCGGAGGCAGCTTGGACAGAGGCAGGGGGGCCAAGTAGCGTCCTGAGGAGTTAAGTTGAGGAATGTCAAAATATCCGCATCAAACCGCTCCCACACGACCCCGGCTGCAACCGAAAACATACCTCTGTCCACGAAGAACAGCGATCCAGATGTAGAAGCAGCATCTTGAACAAGAAGCTTCATGGAGTCTCCTGTGCATTCCACCTTTGGTTCCATTTTAAGCAGTTGTTGCACTGCTGTGTGGTCTTGGTTTGGCCCAAAACCCTGTCTACTCAGGTCCCCCCAAGCTTTTAGAAATCAAGTTTTCAGTGGATTAAAACAGATGACTAAGCAACTCTAAGAATGATGCACACAGAATAAGCTGCAAGCATGGACGATCAAACTGATGCACAACCATGCATGAAACAGAGAGTTTAGTGGCAGGAGCCACCGTGCATACCCATGTCTGCCTGGTAATCGCTTTCAACACCCAGCACATCCTTGGTTTCATTGAGCTTAGCAGCTTTCAGCGGGTTCTGCCCAATTAAGAGCCTTCCATGGTGTTGATTACTTCTGGTTTGGTTTTGGCTATGCACTGAGTCTCCTCCTGATGCATCGAGTGCCTTAAGTCTTGTTAGTGTTGCGCAATGACAAAATGAAGTTGCAAACATAAAAAGTCCTAAACGGAGTAAAATCTTGCTGACCCTGATGTCTCTACACGCCATTGGAACGAAGGAAGGGAGAGAGAGAAAAAAAAAGAGCGCTGCCCACAAGTCAAATGATCTATGCAGTATGCCACAAAAGCTGAACACCGCTCTCAGCAGCAGGTATGTTTAAAGGTGAGCGCTCAAACTCTGGTCCTAATCACGAGCAATCAGACACCTGACCACGGCAGGTGCTGCAAATCATGCAGTTAAGGGCACGGCAGCGCTTTATGGCCTTAAATAAAACATGTACATTCTGTGAGAGCAGTACTCAGGTGGCATTAGAGAAATATTTCAAAACTAAGCTCTGTCTGATAGGGGCACCAGCTTTCAACAGCTTCTGAATTTACATGATGTTGTTTGAATTTGCACAAGGCACCCGTGTAGCATTCCCTAAACCTGCAAAGCCACATTCTTCCTTCAGGAGTGTCTTTAAAGTTAGAACCCTGCAGTCCATATTTTAGCAGCCAGACACTGTTTGGAACTTCATGTCACAACAATTTCAAAATCCTTCTGTACACATTTAAGCTTATCCACATCGCCACCGCCTTCCTCCACCCATCCACCTCGTCTCACCATCGTGGGTTACAGATCCTTCTTCAACTCTGGAGCTCGCTGCCACCAGATAACACCGATTCACTGCCTCTCTTCAAATCCAAACCCGTCTGTTTAGAACTGCCCTCTCCCTGTAAATGCTCGTTCATCTTTATTTTATTTTCTGATGCGTTTATCTGCTGTTTATCATTTTTACCCTTCTTTTGTAAAGTGTCCTGGAGTGCTCTGAGAGGGATTTACAAAAAAAATGTATTATTAACAATAATCTGAGCAGGCATCCTGAGTTTCCAAGAGGATAAATGTGCCTACAGTCATATTAAACTTCTGACATTTCCACATGGATTTTTGTGTTTGAAAAATTCCCCTGACGTGAACATCGTGTAAAGAGTTGGAATAACACTGAACACACAACGCTGAGATGAGAAGAACGACATTAATGCTACATAGGGTTAATAAAAATAAAAAATAAAAAGGCTTTTACTGTTTACAGGGTTCAAATGATGAAAATAGGCATTGAACCAGGTCTGATCTGTATGTCTTGAAAGACAAATCAGATGAGCATTTACATTTCATCGCTGAGATTGTTGATTTGTAATCCAGATCGCTTTATGTTCCTTCAGCCTGTTAATACTGGGATTCAGTCACAAAACCACAGAGAATACTTCCCTACATCCTGATATTTGTGCACACGGTCCTTTCAGAGACGAATCATTTCAGCTGCCCTCCATCGTAGCAGCCCATATCCACGTTTGTACTCTGCAGGCAGGCAACAGACGGGACATACCGGCTTCACCTCTGGTTGGAATAACTTTTATTTGTTCTGTCTGTAAACAAGATGTCTCATCAACTCATGGCATTTGAAATAGCAGATTTTGCGGCAGAGAGGAAATTTCCAACTCAAGAAAAGAAAAAAAAAAAAGACCAAATATTGCATTTTTCTGTCGTTTAATTCTGTACATATTCCACAAAGTCTGGAGATTACTGATGCCAAAAACATCCCTTATAGGAAAGTGCCATTAAAAGTGACTTCTTGCTGGGGCAGCAGTTAAAAATCCAACTCGTAGTAGCAACAGAGCAGATATCGATTTTATGGCACAGAATACACAGTTATTTTCAGAAAATGTTCACAAGACAACTTACAAATGTTCTTATTCCAACCAACACCGTTTTCAATAAGTTTAGTGTACACAGCGTCATTGTTGTTTTTTTTCTTCATCTTTTAAATATACTTCTAAGTACCTTACTATGACAATTTGTGAATACACCTTTGATGACTAAAGCACAAGGCAAAATAAGTCCTGAGGCGCTGGAGCCCAACGGCCTCGGGTTACAGTCAGAATGCATTCGTACTGTAGTAAAAATGACATTTCATCGGTTAATGAACATGGAGTTAGCGACAAATCAATTAGTGGCGAGAGGTTTAAGTAGTGTTCGATGTGAAGAAGCGGTTACATGTGTTACAGTCGTCTCGATGGTTTACAGTCAACAGGTGATGCCAACAATCATCCATCAGAACAAGCTGCAGCGTTTCTGAGAATCCTCTTGTACTGACAATTGGTCCGAAGGGGAGGAGGAGGAGGAGGAGAGAACAACCTCACCAGTGTGTAGTGATTCACAGCAAAAATTTACAAAGAGCAGGAGATGACTGACGGAGGTGGAACGCCCAGCGAGACCCCGAGGCGCGGCGTAGTACGATGACAGTCCCGGTAATGCTGACCTTACATTACACCCAACACCACATCATTAACTTTAAAGACCACATTCAGGTACAACAGCAAAAGCATGTGATGGAGCGTAAAAGAAGTTGTGCTCGAGGAGGGTGGGAGGGGAGGGAGGCCGGCGAAATCGGTGCTTTGTCAGAGGAAGCTTTTCTTTAATGCAGGCAGACGAAGAAGATGGCTTTGGCTGGAATATCGCGCTAGGACAGGATCAGGGGGAGCAGGGGTGTGGATGCTAAAGAGGGTATGCATGCAACTTTTTAAATGCCCACATGCCGAGAAGAATAAAAACTAAAATGAACCCAGCATCTTTTTGTAATGCCCCCCCCCACCACCACCACCAAAGAAAAAAAAACAAAAAGAAAAGCGTAACTATGCACACCGTCACCACCACCACACGTGTACGTCCTCTTGGAATTCCAGCCAGATGCGAAGTGAACGTTATACAACGGCAGTCCAAATTTATTGAACACTTTTATTACACTTTGCGATAATTTTTTTTTTTTTGAACACTCTTTTGGTTAATAAACATTTCAATGAACATGCCATTACTGTAGTGCCAAAAACATGAGGTACAATGTTAAAGTGGGGGTACATTTATCCAAAACAAAACAAAAAGGGAGGGCGAGATGAAGCAAACAATAGGTATAAAAGTACACTGGGGAGGAAACAAACATCGTATGCCACCTAATCCTGGAAGTCGTGTCAACACAGTGTGGTGAGTGGGAGTGCGCTGATAAACTGACCAATGGGAGAAGAGGTTGCTTAAAGGCCACTTTGCCTCAGGAAGTTGGCCATTGAAAATGCTTTTTTGTTAAGGACTCCACCGTGGATCCCCTCCTTTCCCATGACTACAACCAATGCTGGAGCACACAAGGGGTTGGGGTGGGGGGGAAAAAAGAGAAATGAACAAAATTGAAGAGACTCCCCCTACAGGACGAAGGGGGAACACAGGTGACACAGTATCTTACCAACTCTTCATTGCTATTAAAAATTTCCAAGACATTTGACTGCTTGCAGGAGAAATCTTAACAGCAAATATTTCTTTTCTCTTCTTCTTCTTCTTTTTTTTTTTTTTGTCGTCCCTCAATTTCATCTAAGTGAGCTTGAAAACATTAAAACCCTGATTCCCTCAAATATTTTGCCATTGTGTAAGCCTTCTTATTCAATCCGCCACCATGGACCCCTTCTTTGCCCATTACAAGAACCAAAACTGAAAGAAAGCAGAGGGGGAAAGGGATAGGGGACAGAAAGGGATAGTTAAAAGAGGAGAAAGGCATCCCACAAGCAAGAAGTGTTCGACTGCGTACAACTCAGGACTAGCTGCAGGTAAGTCACACACCGTAGCATCCATACGTCTCCTAGGAAACCTATGGATCCCCACTTATTACCGACTCATATTTGTTAAAAAGGGGGAAAGTTTAGCGAGTCTCACACAGCTCTGATGCAGCTTTAAGCTAATGAGAAAATTGGTCATCAGAGGGTACGAACAGAGGCGAGTTCATTCAGCTCCCGTAGAAGCACTGCGTCATCGTGTAAAGACTCTCAGTGCGCCTCCGAGTTCGAATTAAATACCTCGTTTATGCTCTTCTGACTACTTTACAAAGCACAACATGCAGACAGAGAGATAACCAGGAAACAGAGCAGTGTTAAAAAAAAGTGAACAGAGTTTGGTTTGGACGGCAGTTGCGTAAATCCAAGCACAGTTTTTTCCTAAAATTGTTTTACGTGAGAATTAACAACACAGTGCCACCGCTTAGCCAATTAGCTCAGGTCTTAGGTGTCAGAGTCCATCGAACTCACAATGTGTACAGCATCATCACCACCACCACAAGCGAAGCTGCAGAAAGTGAAGAAAAGGCAGCAGAACACCTGCACATTGCTGGTAAGATTCCTAGAGGGGTCTTGTTCATAAGCATAGCATTAGCGAGAAGAAATAACCTGACATCGCCAAAGATGGGCTCACAATTTTACTGAAGTCACAAATGTCATGTCGACTAGCCCTCACGCTCACTCGATGTTTGCGACGTGTTTGAAGCTAAGCGAGCAGTATCTTAACAGTTACAGGGAACCATTTTGCAAGTTTACCTTTTTCAGCTCTTCCCACAGAGATATTGAACGTAGCTTCTCCTCCTTGACTCTTCGTCCGGATGTCCATCGTGCAGTCTCCATCGGTAAAGAGGCTATCTCTGAGGACCGAACACCTCTTTGCGCCCAGAGTGAGACCGTTGGTGTGAAAGGTCTCCCTGTCCTTACCGACAAGGGCATCTATTTCCTGACTCTGGGGGGGGGGACAAAACACAAAAAGCCACGGGATTGCGGCAACGTTAGTCAGATCCTACAGGTGTATCAGACGTGCTTCTGGTTGCACGACGAGCAAGACAAGACGTAGGCGGGATGAGTTCAGCCTCGCAACTTTGGAAAATTACTTCCTTCCTCGTGCATCGGGAGCATCTGCTTCGTGCTATGCTGCCGTCAGATCAAACGAGTTCTTTCTCCTAAAATTAAATGCAAACTTTCACATTTCCAGCCACAGCTTCAGAGATTAGTCAGTCAAACGAACTGAGCGGAAATTAACCAACTCTAAACGTGTGACTTGAGTGAGCTAAATAAGGTTGGGTTCAGTTGAAAAGACAAAGCAGACCCTTAATTTTTTGGGCATTTTACTAAATTGAATGAATAATCGAATAGATGCATAGCAAATTATTCGAATAACAGATTTAATGATAGCTGTACATATTTAAAACTGCAATCCTGGCACCTGTAAAACTGTGAGGAACGCAGGCGAGCAGAGACATGTCAACCAATGGGGTTTTTTTCAAACTTAATGTCATCATAGCAAATGTTTTTCAGATCCAGTCACTGGGCAGCTACAGTCAAAGCTGCTGTTAAATGTAAAAGTTTGAAAAGCCTGTAAAGGATGAGAGGACTTCAAATGACTCAAACGAAGAGGTTTGAATGACAGACGCAACACAAAAACACCTGAAACTTGCTTTGAAGTTGCACTACTGATCTAATACTTATGTTGGAGTTTCCAGTTTAACCACCTTTTTCTTGTTTGAGGAAGATGATCATTTAGAGCAGTTATCTCATCAGGTACATAGCTGACGGACTCATGGGTGGAACAATCATCGCTGATGGCAGCTATAGAGAGTAGAGAGGACGTTTGTGGAATAAAAATGCGAGTCTAGTGAGATCGGTGCCATCATCTCTGCCATGGAGAACACAGGCAGTAATTAGAAAAGCCTGCAGTGAGTGCTGGACGTAAAGTGACGTGTGTGCTTTCGTGCCATTCCTTTGAATGAATTAAAAAACACGCGTGTTTCAAAAATGCACTTGCAGATGGATTAACAAGGCGGGTTTGAGCGAACATTAGCCCCTTTTGACCGCAGGTAGCCGGTAAAGCAGCAGCAGCAGCCGCCTACCGCTAGCTAATCAAAGCAGCCGTGCACACAAAAGCATGCACGCTCCCCTCCTTCGCTCAGACGCCGTCTCCTCGCCGCTTCTAAATTAGCTTAGCATTTGCTGCTTTAGCGGCGTCTCTCGAAAATGTGGATTAAAGCTCGTTAACAGGCGAATAGCTCCCGACGAGCCACATTGAGCGAAGCCCCTACGCGCTCCGCACACGAGGTCTAATCCCGCGGACGCTTCCTTTAGCAGGAGCGCGCGGACGCAGGCCACCGATAAGCTAGCTAGCTAGCTAGCCGCGTTAGCTCGCCAAGTCATTTATATCCTGAGCGTCTGCGTGGGGAGAGACACACAACAACAGTGACGAACCGAACCCGCACTTTCCCCCCCCTCTCTCTCTCAATTTAACCTCGTGTTTTGACTCCTTACCGTGATTTTGCCGAATATACCGCCCTCATATGCTCCCCAAACATATTTGGAGTCCGTATACCCAACAATGGCGCTATCCTGACAGTCGCCATCGGCCATCAGGTTATCCACGTAGGATTGCCAAGACATATTCAAGAAATCGGTGCCGTAGAAAAATCCCTACTGCTCTGGAAGTGCGGTTGCCAAGCGGAGAAAGCTGCCAAAAAAAAAAACACGGGAGCGTGGAAAGAGACAGACGGGGTGGGTTTTTCTTTTTTCTCTCTCTCTCTCTTTCTCTTCTTTTTTTTTTTTTTTTTTTTTTGCCCGAGTCTCCAAATCTAACCCACACTTCGACGTTGACTAACGCGAAGGCTGGGGCAGCAAAGAAAGCCAGGGCAGTGAGGCAGCGGCTGGGTGTAGTCCGTATCAGATCACTCCGCACAATGAGCTCCCGGTGCTTTTATGGCAGCAGGCGGCGGAAGAAAGAGGGACTCATCCACTGAGCCAGGAGTCCGTCTGAGGGAATGCACGCCCGGCCTGCGCTTAAAAACACATGTGCTAATGTCCGATCCTTTACTCATTCATTCATTAGTGTTTGTTTTTTGTGTTTTGTTTGTATTAGTAAGAGGACAAAAGCTGCCACATGGTAGTGTGGCTTTCACGCTCCGCGCATGCACAAAACAACATTCCCTGTGGTGCACGTGTCTCCTGGATGCTAAAAAAAAAAAATCATCTCCCCACTTTTATTTTTTATTTTTTTAAAAGTGTGTTTAGATTGTGGCAAACTGCCTGGAAGTCTCCACGAATAAACTCCTCAAAAACTGACTTTAAATGTGCATTATCAGCCTAGATTGTGTGAGAATCTGCTCATAAATATGATTTGCACTGCTGACTTTTATAAGTTCTCTCCAGAAAATGGTGTTTTATTTAGGGTCTAACTAACTTGTAATCTCATTTTGTAGAATCCTTTAATGTCAATATACCAAAAAAAAAAAAAAAGTACAACGAAATCGGGTGCAATCCTATTCAGTGCAAAGAACAACTATAAGATGTATATAAGAAATAAGTAAGCGACAAAATGGGTATAAAAATGTGAGTATTTGCAACAGCAGCGAGGAACCTGAGAAAAGCTTACTAGCATCACTTTGGATGTGATTTTTTTTCTCATTCATAACCACATAACAAAAAAAAAACTGCAAAAAACTAAAATGTGTGGTAATGATTGCTTAATGTTCAGATCCTTTACTCTAGTAAAAGTATTGAGCTGTGAAAATATTCCGTTACAACTAAAAGTCCTGCATCCAAAACCTTTTTAAAGTAAAAGTGTATTATTACATAAGAGTGGACACCTCGGTGTGACAATCACACACGACCTGTCTTGGTCACTTCACATAAAGTCCACTGTGAAGAAGGCCAGACAGCGTCTGTTCTACCTCAGAGAGGCTTCAAGCTCCTGCTCAGGAACTTCTACACCTGCACCACTGAGAGCATCCTGTGCAGGAGCATCACCACCTGGATGGGCAACAGCACCCAGCAGGACTTCTTGGTCCTGAGGAGGGTGGTCCGTTCAGCTGAGCGGACCATCAGATCCACCCTCCCCAACCTGCTGGACATCGACACCCAACGATGCAGGTCGAGGACGGTGAAGATCCTGAAGCAGCCCAGCCATCCTGGAAACTCCCTTTTCTCCCCCTATGCTATTGTTGCCTAAAGACTGCCACTGAGAGAATGAGGAAGAGTTTCTTCCCTCAGGCCGTCCGTTTGCTCGACTCTGAGCTTTAAAACCAGACTGTGCGATTACACCAGGGCACCTTTTACACATGCACCTTATGAAACACACTTCACTGCACATCGTACCGCGTATAAACCTGTATGTGACAAATAAAGCTTGTCTTGCATCTTATCAGCAACATTAACTTAAAATCTAAGAAACATAAAAGGTTTCCTGTCCAATTATATGTGATGTTTTTGGATTCATGTGTATGTTGCATTTTACTGCTGCAGATGTTTGAAATGAGGGCTGCAAGGTGG